CAAGGCGATCGACATCAATTTGCTTAGCTCCCATATATAATCTACTATTGCGCTTGTCTATAGACGTTCCGATGGTGTTGCAAGGGGTATTATAGATTGAATTCCTGCGCATTCGATGTGCAGGTGTTTAGTGAAGGAGGACATCAATCTTACAGTAGTTGACTGGCAACATTTTTCTGCGATGCTGTTTCGTGGAGCTTTGCCATTGAGCTTCTAGATCTAGTCTTGCACATTACCTACAATAATTATTTGGTCGGCCACCCAGGTTTGTAATTGGTCAAAATCCATCACTCTTGGATCTGGTGTTTGGCAAGTCGATTGGCTTTGTCAGAGATCTCGTGTACAACTCACCCCTGAGTGCTAGCTGCCATTCCCGCCTGTAATTCAAGTGCGCTCTGAATCGAGAGTTCAATGATTGCGCTATCCGGTGTTTAGTCATGGCATGCAAATTTTGAAGCGATGAAGGTAAAAGTCACTAACTCGCGTTGCGTTATTTCGGAAACCGACAGTGTTCAGACGGCCTGAGACATATTCAAGTACTGTTTATCTGTTGTCCCTCTTCACATACTAACTTCTGTGAGGAAAAAACGGAGCCCAAGCCACCCTGCTTTGGTTGTTTTGCGCGTAAACTGCTTAACTGATGGACCTGATGCTGGCCTACTTAAGCGTCTGGTGTTTCGGCATACATCCTTCCGAGAAGTTCAAAATGATTACCGACAGTATCTGCGTGGTGCACAAATCCATGAATTTGAGCCTGCCCACACAGATTCTTCAAACACAATATACATCTTTGCTTAGATCAGAAGGCAAAACAAGATGAATCCGTCCATCCCAGTGTTACTTGACTCTGACAACTGTGGCACTCACTGATCATGATAACTCTTCACTACTTGGGGGAAAGTATGCAAGCGTATTTATTCAGGAGTCCCATTTGCCTCATATTAGCCTGAAGCTAAAAGTTCATGTAGACCCTTAGCAGGAGGTTTTCATATCGGGCTGAGTTGCCCAAGCTTCTACGATAGCTAAATCCCACTACGTTTGCAATAGTGGACGTTATTCCTCCAAAATTTCGTGACTTGGCAGCTGAGCCCTGTTGTCAAACTATGCGGCTGTATGGGACATCTCTCCGCAGCTTTTTTCTACTTAAAGACTGGAAAGTTTCGGTTGTATGCACCGTTTTTAAATAGACCATAACACTTCCATGAAAAGTATACACTCGTTAGCCTGACAACCGTGCTAGTCTATCTTTTGAAAAGTAATTCGAGGGCCTTTGGGTTAGGCAACCCATCTCAACACGGCTTCGTCAAGGTTATTCTTGACTTAACAACCTGCTAATGGCTCGCGAACATTGTGATGAAGCGATTTCTGAGCGAAAAATGTTAAATATCTTGCTCATTCTGAACAAGAGAACGAGCACCGCAAGATGGCACCATTTTGGGTTATCTGATCACTTGCAAACTAAAAACATATATAGATTACGTAAGGGAAGAAAACGATCCTTTTGAATTGATCAGAAAAATGCTCACAAACACAAAACAATAGCTGATAGCGCTGGGTCAAAGGTCGTGAGCCCCAAGGAAGCTTAAAGGCTACTGTCATTTGCTTCTGCACACAAAGCGCGGGACGGTAGCGAGTTAGGGACACAGCTTTAGCAAATTTCAGAACACTGGCGTTTTCCTCCCAACCCTGGAGCAACATCCAAATATTTCCATTCCAGATATGCACCTCGCGATCGGACTGACCGAGATGTATCTCAACGGGGACCAAAGTCTCAATAGAGGTTGCGAGTCCCAACCCAAGCGCACAACTTGTCCCCAAAGTTCAACATTGACTGGCGTTTTCGTTTCTGTAGGTAACCATAAAACTTGAGCCAACGTCAACTTGATGATCTGTACTGACTAGGTGCCTAGCGATGGATGATGTCGACAGCTAGCCTGTTGCTTCTTGTCGGGTTGTTGGTTGCGTCAACAGCCAAGCAAGTCGCTTCGAACTATGCTCTCCAATCCGCTTACTCAGACGACGATTTGTTTTGCTAATGTAACTGCTTCCGCAGGTACAGACGATTTGGTAAATGCACTGCGTTGTGACGGAGACCGGTTGAGTAGGTTTGATTGGGGACGTAGGCAGCTTTCCTGTTGTCCAGATAGGACAGAGTTTGGCAGCGTTGTATGTACGACGAATAGCAGTGTACACCCGTTTATTTTAATTTTTGTTGTCACCACATTGCATTTGAAGGGTAGCTGTAAATAGACGGGCATTCTGGGCACAGGAAGTACTCTTGCTTTGCTTTCCTTCGGGTGGCTGTGAAATCTGACGAACGTCTCTGAATATCCATTGTCCCGTAATGTCTGTGCGATAAACGATCATTCCGACTCCATACAGTAATCACTGCATATGCTACGGGATCAATCGAACAACGTCTTTACAAGTCAACGTTTGTATTGGACCGGCGCAATGCTGTTGAAGTTCTCATCTAGGCTTGTCCATGTAGCTTTCCTGTACATATGGGTGTTTTATTGAGCCATCGTCTCGTCTTGTCAACAATACGTCCAAAAGAGCAGTACAATTGTTCTCTTCTAGCTCACTGCTCATTGATTTTCCGAAGCTTTTGACGGCATTACGCATCCGCCCCTTTGATACAAACTGTAGTGTTATGGTGTTTCTGGCCCAATCAAACACCGGTTATTTTGACCGGTAGCGAGGTGTGTGTGTGTACGTGTGCGCTCTCTCCAGACTTTCTATCAGTGTATTCACAGTGATGTCCCGCAAAGGTCTGTTCTTGGCCCCCCTAGTATCTACTTTATTTGTAGACAACGTACATTTTTTAGATAGAAACGTCATCACTAATGTTCACAGATGGCTTAACTTTCTGGTCCACAGTGAATGAAGATTGGTATCTGGAACTGGCCCCCTTTTGCGGCACTTGCTCATAAATCTTGGCAGATGTCAAGTTTTGCAATTAGAATCAGCTGACCCATCGATGCATTAGCTGCTTGATAGAAAAGTAGTGTCGGTGGTGCCACTGCAAGCGGACGTAAGTGTCAATTGACTTCAAGTCCCTTAAGCGTTGGAAGACACTTTTTCGCCATGGTTTCAGCACATTGTGGATGATCCGCAGGTCATTCGGGATCATGACAACTGAGATGTTTGGAATACTTTTTGCAGCCTTGGTTAGGCCGCACTTGGAATAATGCGTACAGGGTTGTCCGCGCTGTCTAGTCCAGAACAAGATGGCAATTAAACGTGTCTTAGGATTTGGGAGGAAAATGGTATTTGAATCAAGGAAGCATTGTACTCTGAGCAGATAGTCAAACTAGACTTATTTTTGTTGCAATACTAACGATTTCACGGTTACCTGATCATCACCTATAGCAGGTCAGATAGGCCATGAGTTTTCTGCACTGCTCCATCCCACTCGGGTACCAACTCTTCGTTGTCATCCATTAAAGTGGCACAAATCTTGGCCAGACCTGTTCGAACTGATACTCTGTTCACACGCAGGGTTGTAGGCTTTTGGAACGCACTGACCGTAGATGTGGTGATGGCACCGACGTTTCAAGCTTACGAAAATCGACTTGCCACCCTTGGTTTGCTGTTTAACACTCCCTTCACATCTCAGACATTCGCTCATCTGTAGAAGCATACTGCTATATAAACGTTAACATTGTGTTTCAAAGTCGCTGCATACATTATTAAAGCTTGCCTTTTGTTATCCTTCCACTGTTACTTCTCTTCGCTTGGCCGGCACAGCTAGAACTCATAGTGCAGTGTATGTAGGCATTGTTTGGTTGGCCGTAGAGTGAACCGAGCGTGTTTATTTTGATCCTCTTTGCAAATCGCTTCACAAATTTTGCTCCAGGATCAACGACGTTTACAAAGGTGAAAAAAAGCACGAGATTTTCCTAGCTTTTCGGCCTCATTTACAATTGGACTTATACCGGACGTACTTTGCTATGGAGCCTCGAGCGCTGCGAGGTCGTTGGCTGTGTCGGGACTACGACGCCCGGATAACTGCTACACATGATGCCGCACACGTGTATTAAGCATCTTCGGACAGACAGCTGGATCTGACCTTCCGAGTGTCCTCTGTAGAATAACAATCTGCTAGCCGCGTGTCTTTGAAACTTCTGAGCTTAAATTTAACGACTGAGGACAACCTGAATTAGGACCCCAAGATCGCAGTGGTGTGTGGATGCATGCAAGACGTGGTTTCCAAGCATGTATATGCTGTTCGGCTGCTGACGGGCGTGGACCACCTTACATTTGAACGAATTAAGCTAGAGTAGATTGTAGAATGACTAATCACGTGTTGTGTCCAGGTCTCGATAAAAAACAAAGGGATCTCATTGGCCCGCGATGGCCTTAAACATCTTGATGGCATCAGTAAACTACAGGGAAACCGAGACCAGCCGACACATCAACTCATTACTGTACACGAGAAACAGATGTAGCCCCAGCATTACTCATTGTGGCACTCTGATTTCGAAATGAATCGCATCATATAGCGCACTCCGAACTCCGACTTCCTACCACAGTTATTGCAGGAAACTCCAGCTGCATTAGCGACAGGTGAGTTATAATTGTGAAACAGTAGATTTTGCTTGCTCCGAAGAACGCATATACCATCAGTTTGTGCTTGTTGGTCATAACATCTAGTTTTATACAATTGAACTCACAGTGAGTAACCGATGGAATTGAGAGGATATACTGCAATGAAAGCGAAAAACCCTCACCCATTGTTTTCTATCGCAATCAAGCGACAAAGCTTGACAACTTAGCACTTTTACCGCTGTTTGGTGGTTTAATATTAGACCCTCAAAATAATCACATGATCCTCTCGCGAAATATCTGCGCATAATTTCAACTAGAAATGCCTTAGAGTAGCATTTGAGCTAGATGATCTGATCTCTAACACAAGTTACAAGATTTCTACTATTGCTCTAAGTCTCCAGTTCGTTGTTGCAGTGTCATTCTGAACGAACATTGTTTGGTATTTTCAGTTCACAACCAAATTAATGAACAGGACCTTGAAGTTAATGCCAGTGAAAACCTTCTGAAACCGCCCTCAAGACAGGAATACTGGCGACAATGCGGGCGGCAATATCTGACATTGCCAGAAGACGAGCTTAAAGGTCAGCTACAACCAATTCCGCTAAACTGTGTTGCTTTATCCAAAGTCGATACTATGCCCAGAATTCAATCAGAAATGGTTTAAAAGACTGTGTTCCCTTTACCCACTTGGTCAACGCAGACAGAAGACAAAAATTGTGATGTGTCAATGTTTCGACTGCTATCCTCCGTCCCATACGTCATATATTGGGGAAGCGCAGTAAAATATGTACCTGTGGAAGGAAACACACGAACAAATAAAAAAATGTGATAGACTGCCTCAGTTGCCTTTGCGCGCATAATACTGACCGGTTTACGCATTTAGTAATCAATGATAGCATGGATTTATGTGTTTCTTTAAAACCAATAGTTCCCTGTATAAATCTAAACGGAATTATCAGAAAACTTAAGCTGCAGAAGACCCGGTGATTTCGTGCTCATCTCCTCAGTCACGTACAAGGCAAGTAACAATTCCACTTTCAGAAGTCACCTGCTCATCGAGCAGGGACTGACGATTCAAGGAACAGGATTGTACACTGTATCTCACCGCACTGAAGATGCCACCTAGCATAGTGGTGAAACGTATGCAACCACATTAGTAAACTCGGAGAAGCGATCAACAGGTAGGCAACTGACAAGTTGAAAACAAGGTTGGCTGGGGTTTGATTGGTGGTCAGCTGGTGGCCTACTATTACTGTGGCACTATCACGGCAGCTCAATGTTGCTGTCAAATGCTTCTGTACACAAAGACGCGGCCGCTCGCGATCGATTACGATAGCTTAAAGTAGCTAGAGTATATGCGGCCTTTGGTTGCGTTTGAGGATAGTGTTTCTATTTATCAATGGCACTGAATGCCTTCGTGTAATCCACGTGTTGACTAGTCATCAAGACGTGCTTCGCAATAGAAGAGCTTGGGTTCTGCTTCCCCATCTGACTTATACATTCATGTTGTACCATGAATTGCCTCAATCACTAAGGGAAGTGCTCAGCCACCATGTGAGTCAGTCGTCCTTTGGTCCTGTCTATATAGATGTCGCCATAGATGCAGCTAGTCTAGTGGCTCGTTCAGGCCATACTTGTGCGCATATATATATATATATATATATATATATATATATATGTTCATCACAATCTGTGTACAGATATTGTGCCATGGGAACAATGGCAGAATAGGAAGACAGGGTTAGAGCAAAAAAGAAAGAAAAAACAATTGTTTGTCCATTTTCCACCTACAGTTTTGTGTTTTTTATGTTTGTTCTATTGGGAGTAGGAAGAGGATCACCGCAACAAGCAGAGATACATGACCGCCAGTGACTGGGGTTTTAAACCGGCACTCACAATGTTCCAACCAGCGGCAATCAGCATCTATGGGACCCCATCCAAGGAGCCTTGAGGAACCAACCGAGGCTAGATGTTTCGTCAGCTTTTGCATCCGGCTTCTTCAAGTTGTGAGCTGTACATCACACCGCCTCCTCTAGCCCTGTCCAGCGACCGCGAACAAGACACGACGCGGAAGACGCTGGAGGGGCATACGCCGTACTTGTCTAAGTCATCGTAGTTGGCGCAGTGAGACAACCGCCTCGAGGGAGTGGCCGCCTGCACCTAAGACACGCTGTCTGACTTCAAGTTTGATTACGTGGTGCAGCCACCACACACGGGCGATGAACCGCAAGCAACGGTTCTCGAAGATAGACAGTTGGCGCAGGTCAGCGGTACGAGCAGGCCAAGTCTCGCAACCGTACAACAGTACAGCGCGAACAGTAGCAATATAAACACGCCCTTTGACGGAGAGACGGATGTCATGGCAGTGCCATAAATACCTCAGCCTGGAGAAGGGGAGGCGAGCTCTTGAGTCGTGCATCGAAATCGCAAATCCAACAGCCCCACCAGCAGTTATGTAACTCCACAGGTAGACAAAACTCTGTACAACTTCCAGCGTCTCACCATCGATGGGGAGTGCAGGTAGGAGCATCTTCCAGTCTATAAAAAGCGCTTTGCACTTTGATGGTAAAAGGTACATGCCATATTTCGGGGCTTTAATCGCCAGGCGGTTAAGTGCAAGTTGGACGGCCTGAGAACTATCATTCAACAAGACGATATAATCGGAGTAATCCAAATCAACCGCCCGACTACCTGGGAGGAGCTCAACACCAGCGTTCAACAAGTTTTCTACAGCATGTTTGAGGACGTCCTCAATGGCAAATTTGAAGAGGAGTGGAGAGATAGGGTATCCTTCTCGAACTCCACTGGTGACAACAAAGGAGCGTGAAAGCTTGTCATAAGCCCTAACTCTACCCGAGGCCAGACTATACAGAGTACGTAGTATGGAAACGAACTTCCCGGGAATGCCATTTCTCAATAGACAATCCCACAATGCAGACCTGTCGACAGCATCGAAGGCAGCGCCGATATCCAGGAACACAACAATTGTTGGCTTTTGATACACATGGCGGAACTCGAGAATCTGGCGGAGTGTGAAAATCTTATTGATGCAGCCGCTACCAGTGCGGAACCCAGCCTGTCTTCTCGCTGTAGTGATTCAAGCTTGGGGATAGCCTGCGAACCATGATGGACATCAGCATCGTGCAAATGACGGGAACTAAACTTATGCCCCTATATTTGGGGCACTTTATGCGCAGGCTCTTTTTGAAGATGTAGATGACTGTCGATTCACTCCAGGTGGATGGAACCTCCTCTATTGCGTGGACTTCTGAGAAAAAAGCGAGGAGTTATCGAACCAGTGAATAGCCCCCATCTTTAAATAGAGCAGAAGGTAGATCATCGGTGCACAGTGACTTAGAAGGCTTTAGACAGCAGAGTTCCCGCCAGCTTTCCTGGTGAGGAGGAGGATAACTGGGGATAGTCTACTCATCACCAGTGCGCACCCCAGGGGAAACAGATGAAGCTGGCAGCCAGGTAAACTGCCGGTGAAAATGTTCAGCATATCGCTTCAACCGTCGTTGAAGATGAATGCTTAGGGAATCATCGTCTTCGCAACTCTTTCCCTTACTCCAGCTCGGAAGCCTTCGGTGACTCAGTTGAGGTGGAACAGTTTTCTGGTAGTATCAGAGAGATTAGCAAGTTCCATCTCTGTAGCACGATCACACCGCCAGGTCTCATGGTCTTTCAGTACGCTCCTACGCAACGCTGGATCCAGGGATCAACTTTACTCACTACAGCTGGCGTCGGCTGGGAGCAAACGGTGTCTGTCCATCAGCGAAAGGTAGGCAGTAGTGATCCAGCTTTTCGCCTGGTGACGAGCAATGTTACAACGGACAGTACTGGCCGATATTAAGGCATCTTCGATGGGCATCCATTGCAAATTCAGATCATCGTCAGAGAATGAAATAAACAGTGTTGGCAGAGTAGTCTGATATTTGGCTAACGCCGCAGCACATAGCAGAATTTCGACCTTCGGTCGGTAGTGCCTACGTCTGGGTGATCTTCTGAAACGCTCGCAAATCTTGGCGTGAACCAGTGAGTGATCGGAGTGCAGACAGGTTGAGAAGTAAGGTCGGCAGTCTGTTACGCTTCCGCGCCATCAGTAGCTTATTGCTAAATGGTCAATCTAAGGCCGCTCTTGTGTTTGAGAAGGCGGACGCCATGTAGCAGTCAGTCTTTTCGAATGCCAAAAACTTGTACTCGAAAGAAACAAGCGATGATCAGAACAAAAGTCAATAGCCGGTATCTATTGTCCGATCGACTGCTACCGAGACCGAAACTAACTCCAAGATGGTGCTCGCTTGGGGATAGACGACTCACTTGTGCGTTAAAGTCTCCGGCAAGGTTGATACTGTCAGAATTTTTCTAGGAACTCAGAAGGCCATGTAGCTGTTGGTAACAGAAATCCTTGAGTGCATCCGGATTGCAATCTGTATGAGCGTGGGCCATGACAAACAAGGCACGCGTAACATCTCGAAGCTTACTTACATGAACCTCGTAGTCTGACTGCAGATAGCCTACTATTGGCTGGGATCCAAACAAGCAAAGCGGTCTCGGTGCTGTCACTCAGTGCAACCCCAACACCAGCTTGACCAGAAGCGGCGACCTCTAGGCCTACGGAAAAGCACAAGTGGTATTTGACAACAGGATTTGCCGCAGAGTTCTTTGTGATGATGGTGTGGTGGAAAAGGACTACATAAAACGATTAGTGAAAAGCTCAGTCGGTTATGAACAGAGTCTGTCGTAGTTCATTTAGTTCTAAGTCTTCGAAATATCCGAAGCTAACCTTATGCCTCGACAAATAACGAAATCCGAGTCAGTAACGATTTCTTTCACCAGACACCGAGGAACCACGCCAAACACTCACGGCCAACGAACGCGCATCGAGCTGAAGCGAGAAAGCTGAAGGAAATTCGAAGAAGTCTTATATCGTTTCAGATAATTAAAACAGCTATAAAATAAATGGAGAAAGTTGGAACAATAAAGTACAATTGCAAAGGAAGAAGTTCATGAGCGCTACAATGATATTGGCGTCTTGCAAACTTGATTTCCGAAAGGCAACATATGTCCACTGAGTGTCTCGAGGGTACGGGCCAGACATGCTTGTCGTCCGGTCGGCATCAGAGTGCGCACATTGAACGAGGCTAAGACAAATGGAGAACCAAGTCGAAGAAAAGCTTGGGCTTCAGTGGAGTGTGAGAATGTCGTGACTACTGGGCAATGAATAGTAAAGTTTGGCCCAGAACTCTGTCAGATGTGACCAGTGAGCTGTTGTTGACGGTGACCGGGGAAGTCATAGGTGCAGTTGAGGAAGGGGACGCTGGACAATCTGTGAGCGGATGTTGAGCAGCAGAGACAGGATAGCCAGAAGGCATAGCAATGAATGTAGCAATATAATCCATCCATGGTGACCTTGTCACCGTGTGTGTGCTAATCGTGCAATCCTGTGCTCTGTGTTTAATTGGACGTATCCCCTCACATTCTTGTGCCATGTCTTCGGAAGTACGCTCAATCGATTCGGATCACTGAGCTCTATCCAACGGCGTCTATATTTTTGAAGTAAGTCCAACGACACGCTACTACACCACAAACTAAGTCTTCGGAAGTCTATTCACCAAGGCCAACTTGAGTAACTTTGCTTATTTGAGTTTCATCAGTACCTTG